ACCCTTAAACACAGTTCTCCCCACCCTTGGCGATTTTAAATTGTGTGAATTCAAACCCCAAAAATCCCCCAGCCAGAATGGGGATTTCTGGGAGTTGAAGTCCACACATCTTAAAGTCGCTAAGGTTGAGGAACACTGCTCTAATACAAGGCTGACATGGAGACCTTACTGCAATACCAGTGCCAATACCCCTGGATACCAACGGCCAAAGGTGAGGGATCCTGGAAGTTGCAGCCCAGCAAAATCTAGAAGGTGACACATTCCCTATTGTGCTCTAATTGTGTGTGTATGTACAAAGCTTTGCAAAACTTAATTTTGCTGGAAAGGATCAGGCATTATACAGACAGACAGATTGGAAGAACTGTTTTATCTCACTAAGACTGTCCACCTTTTATTTCAAATTCCTGGCTTCTTTGATTATACAAGGAAGCTACTAGCTTTAAAAGAGGGAGAAGAATCTGCTCGGAAGTAGAGTTTACAGTTGTGCTCCCTTCAGCAGCACATATACTAAATTGGAGTTTACGGTACTAACTTTTCATGGCCAGATCTTGCTTACCTGAGTTTTTCTCTTAAAAAGTGTACATAAAATTGCTACTTACAGGCGTACTTAGCTTTAGCACTACCTTTCTAAGTCTCTTCAGTTTGGACATTCATTTGTAAGGAAGAACTACAATCTAACTATTCTTTTTCAAAACAGCTAAGAGCCTGTTTCTTACTTTCCCTCATCCTGTAATCAATCTGCAAAATTGACTCATCCAGCAAAACACACCTTTGTGCACATACCACATGTACTGTGCATGCACATCTAAATATGTTATTATTTATGAAAAGTGTTTATATATTATTTGTTTTAAAATTCCCAAAGCAGTTCACAATCATTGCAAAAGTCAGGAATACTTGTGGTTAGTTACCTCTACCCTCTTAAACTACTTGCCCAGGTATTCAGTACTGGATGACAATTACAGTCTCTCAGGTCCAAGAAAGCCTTTTCCTGGTGGGTTAAATCGTGACCTCCTTAAGGGAAGCCAGGGGCGTGCCCTCATGCAAAGAAGCTTTCCCCAGACCCTGGACCCACCAGTTAATCCCTTGAAGCTAATTTAAAGTAGCCATGAAAGGGGCAAGACAAGTAACAGGACAAACAACCACAAATGTCTGGGCAACAAGCTGCACCTCAAAGTGCTCTGCAAATTTGTTGCAGAGCAAATTTATTGCTGAAGATTGTAAAAGAATAGTTCCTAGGGCAGATGGCACTAAACCCAAAACAAAATCAAACAAAAACCCTGATAGCTGCATCACAAACAATAAAGGAAGCTCTTTTAATTGCCCTCAGAGCCACACAGGAAGCATTGTAGTGTATTGTGTTGTGTGCTTGACCAGCTTTAAAGTGTCCTTTGCCAATAGTGCTCTAGCTGTGACCTGATAGGCTTCATTGTTTGGAACTCTCCAGTAAACCAGTGGGCGCTCCATATTCCACAGCATCAGAAGACATTCACAGATGATTATGTTGCATCTTGCCATTCCATAGATACTCAACAATATTACTAATTCTAATCATTGGAAATTCCTCAGCCTATTCAATAATCCACCGGATAGTCAAGGCAGGTTTTCCAAGTCTTGGTAAAACCTAATCTAGATATTTATTTTGATAGCATAAACAAATTATACCATACTTTTGGTATCACTGTTGTATAAACTTATTTCCTTTCCCAAATAAAATCCTAGTCAAGGGTTGTACTTAATAAAATTTGGGTCATAATGGTAAGAAATAGTGTGCATCTATAATTTAATCTGTTTCTCCTAGAAGCTCCCAACTACTCTTTCCCCAGAATCTCTCATGAGACTCAAAAGAGGAAAACATATGGCTAAATGAAGAGACCACTCTGCTCACAGAATAAAATCTGCCTTATTTGGGGGATCCCTTCCTCCTTATTTTCCAACCCACCCTTTTTCTGGCAATTCCTATAATTGAGAGAGAGACTTTTGAAGGGCTTTGTGAGGGAGGAGGAAACAGGAAAGTTACCAGGCATGGATTCCCACATTGTTGTAATAATCGGATTGTCTATAACAAAATATAGATGGATCAAAACTGAGCTCCAAATGATTTGGGATGGCTGTGAGTATTAGAAAATTTCTTTCATAGCAATCGAAGTTAGGCAAAGGATCCAAATCCTCTTTAAATGCTAGAGTTTTGTTTTTTAGCTATGTCTTTCTATAAGGGAAAGTGCTGCCTTTCCTTTTGTCTGCAGATTGTTTTACCCTTTAGATGTTAACCAACATTCTTACAAACATGTTCTCAATCTTGTGCACATTTACTCAGAAGAGGACCTCAGTATTCAATTAATCTTAGCACAAGATAAATTTAAAGCAAGAATGAAGCTTGATAATATGATTCTGTGCTTATCTGAACTCTGAACAATGGGATTTATTTTTACTGAAGTGTGTATCATAACTCAAAATATGTAAGGAAAGGTACTAAAGCAAAAAGCAGCAATGGTGGTTCTCATTTTGAAAAGAAGGAAAATTCTAGGAGTGGCAAATATAATAGAGCAATGGTGGTCCTTACATTAGCAGTAATAAGGGCAATCAAGCTTAGAAAGTGTGGCATCTAAAGCTATGATTAATAACCTTCCCCCAATTAGGTTAAATGGAATGGAAAGCAACTTTTTTCGTCCATTTCCTTCTATTGTAAGTTAGAGTAATAACAGTAGACAAGTATTTTGACTGTGGCCCAATTCAACTGCTTAGAAATTCTTTCTTGTTTCTATATGTCAGATTCAAGGACTTCTCCCAAATCTGTATGCTATTGACTAAAAACCCACATACTGTTGATTACACACAGCTAGATATTTTGGAAAAACTGCATTATTTCTTTAAACAAAAAGAAGAGCTGAGCAAAGACATAGTTAAAGAGATGCTTTGAACTCTCAAATGAGACTCGGAATTCCAGAAGTAATTGTTGCACTCTTTGTGGTTTGGCCACATTTTAGCAATTAATTCCTTATTCAATGTTAAAGCAATTCAATAGTCAAGAAGCTTGAAAACTATTGACTACAATGACATTGCTGCATAGTTACAATTTCACTTCTATGTATGTTTTCTTTGTACTTCATTTGTGTATTTTTAACCAATTAAATAAGTAGCAGCTTTCACAATCTTGGATGCAAACAAACCTCCTGAATAATGTATTCCTGTGACCTCAAATCTTATTCATAGGACCTTGATTTAGAATCAGCATCTATCTTAGCACAAGATACCTATGAAGCGATGTCTGTTGGCTTCATCCAGAGAAGTATCAGCACAAGCAAATGAATAGGACAAAGTAGTACCACTAAAATGGATATTTCATTAATCCTGAACTCAGTGTAATGAGAGAAAAAAGTATTTTGCTTACCTCACCCTTTTTTGTAAGGAAGTGATTGAAAGAAAGCTTCAAGCATTTCATGTCCATGTGACTTGAGTTTCAGGAAACACACACCAAAGAAGAACTGAAGTTATAAGAATCTTGCATATGTATTCCATGTTAACTTGGCAATATTTACCATTAAAATGTGGAAATTAAACACCTTGGAATTTCAATTTCCATTTAAAAGATAAAATTAAAAATGGCAAAATTGTAGATCTTATGCTTTGAAATTT